AGGTGCATGAGCTCTTTATATATTTTGGATGTCAACCCTTCATTGGATCTGTCATTTATGAATATATTCTCCCATACTGTAGGGTAACTTTTTGTTCTATTGATGGTGTCCTTTGCTGTACAGAAGCTTTGCAGCTTGATATAGTCCGACTTGTTCATTTTTGCTTTTGTTTCCTTTGCCCAGGGAGATATGTTCATGAAGAAGTTGCTCATGTTTATGTCGAAGAGATTTTTGCCTATGTTTTTTTCTAGGAGTTTTATGGTTTCATGACTTACATTCAGGTCTTTGATCCATTTTGAATTTACTTTTGTGTATGGGGTTAGACAGTAATCCATTTTCATTCTTTTACATATAGCTGTCCAGTTTTGCCAACACCAGCTATTGAAGAGGCTGTCATTTCCCCATTGTATGTTCATGGCTCCTTTATCATATATTAATTGACCATATATGTTTGGGTTAATGTCTGGAGACTCTATTCTCTTCCACTGGTCTGTGACTCTGTTCCATTGTGCCAGTACCACATTGTCCTGATTACTGTGGCTTTGTAGTAGAACTTGAAATTGGGGCGTGAAATTCCTCCCACTTTATTCTTCCTTCTCAGGATTGCTTTGGCTCTTCGGGGTCTTTGGTGGTTCTATATGAATTTTAGAACAATTTGTTCCAATTCTTTGAAAAATGCTGTTGGTAATTTGATAGTTATTGCATTAAATCTGTAGATTGCTTTGGGCAGGATGGCCATTTTGACAATATTAATTCTTCCTAGCCAAGAGCATGGGGTGAGGTTCCATTTATTGGTGTCCTCTTTAATTTCTCTTAAGAAAGTCTTGTAGTATTTGGGGTATAGTCTTTCACTTCCTTGGTTAGGCTTATTCCTAGGTATTATATTTTTCTTGATACAATTGTGAATGGAATTGTTTTCCTGGTTTCTTTCTATTAGTTCTTTGTTAGTGTATAGGAAAGCCTCAATTAGTGTGTATTAATTTTGTATCCTGCAACTTTCTATACTCTGATATCATGATATCAGTTCTAGTAGATTTGGAGTGGAGTGTTTAGCGTTTCTTAGGCACAGTATCATGTCATCTGCAAATAGTGACAGTTTGACTCCTTCTTTACCAATCTGGATTCCTTGTATTTCTTTGTTTTGTTTAATTGCCATGGCTAAGACCTCCAGTACTATGTTGAATAACAGTGGGGAGAGTGAGCATCCCTGTCTTGTTCCCGATCTTAGAGGAAATGCTTTCAGATTCTCGCTGTTCAGTATGATGTTGGCTATGGGTTTTTCATATATGGCCTTTATTATGTTGAGGTACTTGCCCTCTCTAACCATTTTGCTGGGAGTTTTTATCATGAATGGATGTTGAATTTGTCAAATGCTGTTTCTGCGTCTATGGAGATGACCATATGATTTTTGTCCTTTTTGTTGATGTGGTGGATGATGTTGATGCATTTTCGAATGTTGTACCATCCTTGCATCCCTGAGGTGAATCCCACTTG